CCAGGAGCCCCTAGCAGCATTCTTGCTCCTAGTAGCGATGCTAGGAGTAGCGTCCTTGCTCCTAGTAGTACGGCCAAGAGCCCCTAGCAGCGTTCTTGCTCCTAGTAGCGATGCTAGGAGGCCCCCTAGTAGCGTCCTTGCTCCCAGTAGTACGGCCAGGAGCCCCTAGTAGCGTTCTCGCTCCTAGTAGTGATGCTAGGAGCCCCTAGTAGCGTCCTTCCTCCTAGTGGTACGGCCAGGAGCCCCTAGCAGCGTTCTTGCTCCCAGTAGCGATGCTAGGAGCCCCTAGTTGCGTCCTTGCCTTGCTCCTAGTAGTACGGCCAGGAGCCCCTAGTAGCATTCTTGCTAGCGATGCTAGGAGCCCCTAGTTGCGTGTTTGCTCCTAGTAGTACGGCCAGGAGCCCCTAGTAGCGTTCTCGCTCCTAGTAGCGATGCTAGGAGCCCCCTAGTAGCGTCCTTGCTCCTATAGTGGTACGGCCAGGAGCCCCTAGCAGCGTTCTTGCTCCAGTAGCGATGCTAGGAGCCCCTAGTTGCGTCCTTGCCTTGCTCCTAGTAGTACGGCCAGGAGCTCCTAGTAGCGTTCTTGCTCCCAGTAGCGATGCTAGGAGCCCCTAGTAGCGTCCTTGCTCCTAGTAGTACGGCCAAGAGCCTAGCAGCGTTCTTGCTCCTAGTAGCGATGCTATAGTTGCGTCCTTGCTCCCAGTAGTACGGCCAGGAGCCCCTAGTAGCATTCTTGCTCCTAGTAGCGATGCTAGGAGCCCCTAGTTGCGTCCTTGCTCCTAGTAGTACGGCCAAGAGCCCCTGGTAGCGTTCTTGTTCCTAGTAGCGATGCCAGGAGCCCCTACTAGCTTCTTTGTTGGCAAGATTCCCAAAGTAGATGATGTGGACTTCAGCCCTCCAACCACCGATGAGTGAAATAATACTGCACAGGCACTGTAGCAACACTCGACTTGCATACATGCTAGGAAAGTATATGCAGTAGAAGGATGTACATTCAATAAAAAGTTTGATGCGACAGGACTGGCACAGCTGGAATCAACATGTCTTGCTGCAGTCTTACAGTGCAGCAGGCTGAACTCTGGCCCTATCCCCCATCAACTCTGTGTGCTGCCTGGCGCAGGAGTCCAAAAGCATCTGGCCTGGCCAGAGGTCTAGAACGGGGCCAAGGCACTTTCGCCTCTCCAGCTGCCCTCTATCGCAAACCCCATGTTGTCCAACCCAGCGCCATCTCCAAATATCAGCCCACGATATAATGACCTAGGAGCACCGGAAGACTTCACCCTCACATTTGGTCATTGAGCCTTTCTCACGTGCCGAATGACCAACGTGCAAACAGTCGAGTGGCTACGGGTAGGCACATTTTACAACCAGCCTACTACGAAATCAATCTATTTTCAGAAAACAAGTCCTTTTGAACCAAACTTGATACATCTCCTTTGTCCAGCCTGTTATACTGTTTACCTCAAAGATAGAAGATATTCGGGAATTAATTCAAATAGAAGATGCAGAGTTGGGGGTGCCCAGGCAACGTGTCAAATAGAAGATATATACAGTCGCAGAGGTAGCTCCTGAGATCAAATTTGGCCTTTCTTGGTCAAAACCTCTTGAAGGAGTTTGGAAGCCACATTTCACTGGTATTTACAGCAAATCCTGCTTGTTTGCCTCTAACATGACTCGGGCTAGCCGGCGGAAAATTCTTTGATTTTTGCACCCTATGTCGGTTTATAGGGAGCAACTCTTGCAACATGACCATGTTTGTCTGGACTGGTAGAAAACTGCAAAAAACCTGCAGTTTTTTTGTGTTTTGGGATGTCTTACCATTGACTCATCAAGCGCGCACAGAACAAGTCAATTAGAAGATATAAATGAACATAAATGAACATCAAATAGAAGATATTGGTTTTAATTATTTGGTGGGTGAATGTTTACACAAAATTAATTAAGTAATATATCTTCTATTTGAACTTGTTCCCTGTTTTATGCTGAATTGCGCTCAGTTTTTCCAACTGCAAGCAATCTCTTTGTATATAATTGGTAATGCTTTGTTAGCATTGACCCCAGGCCTGCCAAATCCTCAGGCAGGTTAACCGTCAAGGAAACACCAGCGCAAGAGCATGTCGTCTTGCACGCTGGAGAAGCGGCTGGGAAATCCTGTAGAAGACCAAACACTAGGGTTTGATGTGGGATTGTGGATTTGACCAGACAAAAACAATATTATATATACACACATATCATCACATATCTCTGATCTAAATGCTTTCTCCCACTCAGAGATCTTCGGTTGGGGCTCCCAGTCTAAGTAGCAAGCACTTCATTTGCTCCATCACTATTTCCTAACGCAGCGTAATTGGTAATGCTTTAAAGCATTGGGTCCCAAGCCTACCCATTCCTCAAGCAGGCAAACATGCAGGAAACACTGGCGCAAGAGCATGTCGTCTTGTACGCTGGAGCAGAGTGAACTTAAAAGGTAATTAATTACTAGAGCATGTGGGACTGGGAAATCCTGCAAAATTGTGAAGACCAATTCCTGAGTCCATGAAAACATTTCACAAATGCCTTGTATATATATAACCCCTTGCAAGTTCTACAAATATCTACAAATAGGCTCCCAGTCTACGTGGCGGCAGATTCTTCATCTACCAAGTGCTCGATGTAGTCCTTCAAAGGCATCTCGTGAACTGAAACGGTTTCTGCTGCAGCTCCTAGCGCTGACTGGTGGGACTGCCACAGAAAGATCAAAACTTGGAGTAGAGCTTTCTTCTCAGAGCGCAGCCCTGCATTGAAGCTGCGGCCACAATTGGGGAACCCAGGATATAGTGCCAACCATTGTCCGTTCCTTTGCAGAGAACCCCTGCAACCCAGTCAAATAGAAGAAATTAATAAAAATACAATGCCACAATCCAAACCAAAACTGTCTAAATAGTAGTGAGCTGAAAGGCCGATTGTAGCAAAGCCCACAGTTCAGCACTCCCATGATCCGTGGCGTATCTGCTAAGCCTTGCTGCTGCAAATCCTTCCAAGCCGTGGAGTGAATGTACTGGACCTGCTTTCCTTGAACAAAGGCAATGGTTCAGAGGATGGATCAAATATAGCGGCGAGAAAATCCCTCAATGGTAAATAGAAGAAATATGTAGCAATATCTTCTATATGTGTGGTCGTTTGGAAAGTTAGGTCTGGTGGAAATAGCGGACTATATATATATGTAACATAGTTTGCAAAATTTTGCCCAATCAGATTTGTTTGTGTGACCAAGGTGCCAGTTGGCTGCGAGGAAGTGCAAGCTTGAACCCCCTCCTCCACTAGCTCAATGTCATGAGAGACAGCGATCAAATTGCCGGCCTCATCAATCTTCACCGTCATGTCGCCCGCACCCTCCAAATCCTCCCCGCCGTTCATATGTTGGTCGTCATGATGGCCAATGGAAGGAGAATAGAGTTCCTGTGAATCTGTGTCCTTTTGCTCATCTCCCGCAAAAAGCTCTTGAACCATATCAGACATAGCATCCGATAGAGTCTCCACAACAGGAATTAGCATACCGTTGGCAGCAAGTTCCTCCATGTAGTTCTGCTCAGCATTAGCTTTTTCTTCCTCCTCGACTGGGGAATCCTGGCTGTTGTATACTTCCATTCCTGGATTGTGTGCTTTGAGGTTGGTCCATAAGCAGGAAAGAGTAGGGGAATAACAATATGAATTTTTATAGCTATGCATTATGTATAATAGTTATATGGCTACCGGATTATCTTCTATTTGACTCTTCTTGGGAGCGGAACTCTATCCCTCTCTTCTGTGGGATATGCGAGCCAGAATTTTCAAATAGAAGAAAATACCACATTGGCTGGTAAAATTGCAAAAATGTTTGTTTGCTTGTTTGTTTTGACCTTGCCTGGAACTCTCACCGACTCCAAGAATGACTTGTCCACTTTCAATTCAAGGCCATCAAATTTGGTCTCGACTTCAAGGACCCGCAAAGGTGACCAGTCTAGCCCACCAATCTTGACTTTCTTCTCAAGGAAGTCAAACAAAATGATGGTCGATCGCGCGCCATCCTGCTGCGAATTTAAACAGGCACCTATGGAAGTGTGTATATATATATATATACATCTTATATATCTTCTATTTGATAGGCATTACTCTTTTCTATTTGGAAACCCAATAGGACCCTCAAACCTCTGTCGGCATCCCACCTTGAGTTTCATGGTGCCGTCAGAACACTTCTGCAGGTGAGCTTTCACATATTTCTGGGTTGCTGGAACACCCGTGCCATTCATAAGGACCAATGGGCGTAGAGAGTTGCCCACAATGGTGTCATACTTGCGCTGTGTGATCTCATGAATCTCTAACCGCTTCTTAGCGGCATATACATCTCCCTGGTATTGGGCATAGTTTTTGTCAGCATGTTGCTGCATGAGGATGGGTAGGCTCAGCCAGTTGCTGTCATTCTGCGGATCTTGCACCTGCCATACGTGGATAGTTCGCCCTGGGCATGCCTCCCGTACTGAGTCGGCGATGGTAGGCCTAACAATGAAATAGTATGAAAGTGAAAGTAAAGAAGGTCAACCTTAAAGCACCAAAATGTTTCACTGACCCTGGCGATCGGAATAAGCACATTTGTCAAGTCAAATAGAAGAAATGTTTCCAATTTCGATGAGAATCGGAACCAATGCTGGAATTTCAGGGACCATCTGCTTGAATGGACTAGGGTTTGTTTCTCCAAGTTCATTCTTCTCCTCCTCATTGAGTTTGGGATGAAGCTCTTTCATCTCATCTGGTGTGACCAATCCACGACTGGTCCAGCTCCACCGGAGGAGCCGCTTGTAGTTGGCCATCTCCTGCCATGAGTAGATCAAAGCCTTAACATTCTCCTCCACACCGACGCTGAGATGCTTTTGGCCGTTCAGCCCCAGATGAATTGGCCGCGATGCTTGTTCCAAACCTGGATCTCGATAACCTGCCGGAAGGACTTTCTCATCCTAATGTTGCTTGCAAACTATAATACCGAGATCCGCCCAGTCCCGATCCCTCTCGGCCCCTGGAAATATTCCAGAAATATCTTCTATTTGAGTTTCTGATTTCAAAGCAAACATGGGGACTGAGTAGACTAGGTAACTATATTCAACAATATCTTCTATTTGACTTTACAATGAAGTTCTGAAAGTGATGGTTAAAACATCTTACACAATTATATATCTATATAATTCCTCCAGATGATTTTACCCTCCTGGCCTAAGGCTTGGTCAATCCACAGGTTTGCTAGCTTCCTTACCATGAAATGCATTGCATCACATGGTTGTCCATGACAGCTCCACCCGCCAGGTGGTTTGAGTGGAAGGATCACATTGTTGTGCTTGGACCACAAAGATCGCCTGGAATCCTGGTTGTCCAGGGTAGCATAATTTCCTGTAAACCCATCGGCGATGAGCAAACCAGGGATGTCTCTGCTATAGCCACACTCTGCGCGTCTCAGCTCGAAAGCCTTTTTACTATGTCTAGGCTTTCTGAACAAAAAAACCTATGTAGATATATAGAAGAAACCATAAGATTATCTTCTATTTACCCTACAGTTTTATACGCCCCCCTGAGAAAACACACAAGGAACACAATGATGCTTTTATACTCAACACCCTCCAAGAAACAGGACCCAACAGCTCTTGCATGTACAGCAATGTGCTCTCTGCATTCATGAAGTGGGTCTCGGTTCCACTCTCGAAAATGAAAACACGTCCTTTGTAACTGCTGTTGTAATCCTGGATAACTGATCGCGGAAGAGCACCTGTGGTCAAGCAGACCCCTAAAGGGCCAATTGTTCCATCCCCCCACGTGGCCGTGACAGCCGTGACACCAACTCTGCCACCCACGACAAATTCTGATCGTGCAGCTGCCTTTCGAAGTTTGGAGGCTTTAGGTGCTTGCCCCATCCTTGAGGTCATCTCATTTTCTGCAAGCTTCAGCACAGCCTGCAGCCGTTTCCCAATCAAATCATCAGGTCTTACCTCCATAAATTGATCACCCTCTCGTGTGGCTTGCTTGGCGGACCTTTTGTGTAAGACTTTTGATGGAGCTTCGAATGATGAACGCCAGAGCTGGTCAAAGTTCAAGACCATCTTCCAGGGCACACCCTCGATGACGCGCTGCGAGCGATGTGCACGTCGCATTTCATTCATTTCAGTGCTTTCATCCGGCAAGAACTGGCCTTTGGTGTTGCTGGTCAAAAAGCTCCACTGCCACTTGTAGAGAAACCGGTAGACCCACCGATTGTCTATGTCTTTCACCCGCATTTTTTCCGGCTCGAGGTTGCGCTCCTGGTGGAACTATCAAATGTATCCATTATCTTCTATTTGACTTTCTTGGTTGGGACTTCGGTCCTTATCTGCCTTGAAGATTTCTACTATATATATATATATGTACAATATCTTCTATTTGGTTTTGCAATGAAAAGCCCAAAGTGACTCTTTATATAATGTATAAAGCCTTCTCCCACCTCTCCTATATGTGCTTCATTCTACCCTAGAATTTGTCAATCACATGAAGTTGTAAACCCCTACAATGCAAAGCACCCTTGAACTCAAGCCGGAACTTTCCGCTCCTGGCCTGACATACCTCAGCGTAGGCTGCCTTCCATTTTTGATAGATGTGCTGCGCAGTTTCCACCAAAACATTCATCTTCAGGTTGGTAACGGACTGTAGGTCACGTGTGAACCCAGCTAGCATCCTTTCCAAGCAGTCATTAAATGCGGCCTCCACTTCCTGTGGCACTCGACTTGCATGTCCACGCCGGCATCTGGCAGGAAGGCTCATTGCACGGCGAAGCCAGTCTGGGAGTTGCTTTATTTGCGCTCTGTCTTTGACGGTCATGAGTGACCAAGGAATCTTCTCGTGAGACTCAGCATCATAGGTCCTGGGCGCTAAGACAATGGTTTTTCTCCAATATCCAGATCATAGAGAAGATATATATATATATATTGTAATGGCACAACGAAACTGTTGTTGCTAACAATGATCCTTTGCACATACAAATAGAAGATATTCTTTAACGGTGCAGGAAAAGAAAAGTTGCTACCCCAGGCCCTTTCCCAAAACACGATTTTGCAATGTTAAGTTTAGTGGCTTAATCCATTTGCTCAGTAGGCCACTTTTCCACCCATTAGTCTCGCAGCTGTAGAAGTATTTCTTGAAGCGGACCATGACCTCTTTCTCGATGCTCTGGACACTCTCATCCTTTTCAAGCTTTTTCGCGCACTCAACCACCAAGCATTTGACGTAGAGGGGTATTGTCACGCACTTGTTTCGCTTTGATGAGGTTTCCTGCTCCAGATCTCCAAATGGGTCTGTCTCTGGGAAACCAGTTTCACCTTCTTTTTCCTCATCTGCTCTCTGAATGCCCTCATCCTCAGCCTCCGGCTCTTTCCTGCCCGTGGCCTTGCCTTTGGGAGTCTTCTTGCGACGGGTCTTCTTGGAAGCGTCCTCTCCATCAGCCTCTGTTTTCTTGTTTGTGGACCCAAAGGGTCTTCCACGAGGCCTCCGAGCCGGGCCAGCTGTCAGCAAATCTTGCTGAATCTGGTCTTGCTCTCCTTCTGCCCTTCGCAGGAAACTTGCAAGCTGAGAAAAATTTAAGCATGCTGTAGAGCCTTCCTCAGCGCTAACCCCGCACTCCGTCAGCAAGTCTGACAAACCAGGGTTGGCACTTGCCAACTCCAAGGCCTTGGTTCGGAACTCCTTTGAGGCTTTTTCCGGCTCCTGAAAACAGAGATCCATGGATTCAAGGAGCCAGTCTTTCAATTGCTTGATAGCTGCAAGAGTTTCCTGGACAGTCTGAATTCCATGAGGCCGTTGTGGCAGTCTAGGAGCAGAATCACCTGTCTCAGCTGACTGGGAGTTCTGTCCCGCAGAGTCAGACTCCCGCTTTGATGCCCTCGCGGTGGCCGATGCTTTGACAGCAGTTTCAATCCTTGGGAACGGCCAGCAAAAGTGTTTGATGTTGACAAAAAGGAGAACAATCAATATATCTTCTATTTGATTGGCAGGGCCATTGCACTCACTAGGACTAAATATATACCACATATAAATATATATATATGTATATATCTTCTATTTGCCCGGTACAGCCATTGCATTTCAAAAAAACAACCTGCTGGCAATTTGTTGGGGATTCAAAGGGGAATAAAGATCCTGCTGTATCCTGGAAGTCGAGAGGCTCTGGCACCATATTCTCATCGAAAAGAAGAAGTCGACTTCTTTTACCACTGTAGTGGATGTAATAGGGCACATCCTCCACAGCTTCCTCATTTCCAATGGAATGTTCATGAGGCACCTGAGCTTGTCTGCGGAGGAGCATGATGACTCATCAGCGGGAGGTCTCCAGCTCGGACGGTTTGTTGGGGGAAGTCTCCCAAAGTTTAAAAGACCCAAAGAGGAATGTCAGATAGAAGATATTGGGCAACACATTGTGAATAACAAGGAATCTTTAGGAAATCCAGCAATTTTCACACTTTCCACCAGCAGGCACAACAGACACAGGTGTCCCCCTGCTGTTTACAGGCATGTCCATTGGCTTCCAATTATATATCTCCAATTATCTTGTAAGGTGAGGGTTGTCTCCAAACCCCGGTGCTCCCCACATAAAGTCTCTCGGCCTGGCCAAATTTGATTTTTGATTTGGTATATCTTCTATTTGACCGGGGCGCCTGCCATTGCTCGTGCTTGCATTCACAAACTGCCTTGATGCCCTCCGGACTCAACCTCATACAACGGAGCTTCTTGTCAGAGTCAACAACCAATCCATAGGCCATTGGGCACAGCTGTTGGAGGTAATACATCATGTGGGCATCTGTGCTGCTGAAAAATGCCTCAAAAGTTGGGTGGGAGTGTATCCACCCGACGACAACCATCCCAGTGTCCTCAAGGTGTTTCTGCAACTTCTCTCCCACACTTCCACCTGCTTCCCAAACACTGGTCATGTTTGAGTCTTGCATTGGGAAGTACAATCCACCAGCATAAGAGATTGACTTTTTGGTTTTTGAATCTTCCTGGTGAGTACCGAGGATCCAGGCCATGTATTCATTCGGGCTGTGGTTGAAAGCATGTTCGATGAATCGTTTCAGCAAATTGCTGGGAAACTGGATCTCCCGCAGTTTTTCCTCCTCCAATTGTGCCTTGCTCTTGACTGTCCGAGACTCATCAGGCTTGAACAGCTCACTGAATTCCAAGACCTTTTCTTTTCCCGCAGACATGTTTCCCTTAGGTCCGGCATTCCTGAGGGTGTCCAAGGTAGCTGCACTTTTTTGCATAAGAGCTTGGTCTGCTGGAACTTCATGCGGTTCAACCTTCTCAAAATAGATCCCAAACACTTGGGCGCATTCCGTTCCAAATATGTCATCCCAGTCTTTCCCGGTGGGCGCACCACGCTCTTGGGCACTCTCCTTGTCCATCTTCTCTAGCTTCAGAATCTTCTTGGGTTGTGATCGGGTTCGAGGGTTGTAGCCTTGGCAAATGCTGAGGTAGACCACTGTAGAAATGGAGTATCTTCAAATATCTTCTATTTGACTTGACTCTACCGTCATGTATCAATTAATAAATGTGAAAAAAGTCATTGACAATGTACATATATTATATATACATACACATATATATTCTTTTTAATTGATGCGAGGTTCCCTTCTGAAACAGCACGTGTGTCGCCCCCTTCAATCGCACTTCCCAGTGCTTGGTCTGCCTAAACTCCCAGCATTTCCGGCCCGAGACAATCTCTGTGTAGTACACAGCTGACAACGGCAAAACCACGTGCTTTTCTTTCTTCTCCTGCCGGCCAGGTAGACATAAGAGGAAATGTATATATAATGTGCCACCCAGGATATGTGACCTCCCCTCTACACATGTCACATCAAATAGAAGATATCACCACCTCTGAATCTGAATCTTGATTTTTTTCTCTCTCTCTCTCTCTCTCTCTCCCCATCCCTCTCTCTCCTCTCTCCTGACTCTCTTGTTTTTCAGCTGAGCGGAGGCCACGCGATCCCTTTGTGATGAGATCAACCTATATATATATAACCGTCTTTATAGATAGACTGCTGCTCAGTTTCATAGTGAACGCGCGCCGGTCAACGGCCACTCAGATATCAGGAGCTTGTACCTGGTCAACTATAGCAAGAGCTTACTCCTCAATGGCAAATAGAAGAAATATGTAACAATATCTTCTATATGTTTAGTTGTTTGGATACTTGGATTTGGTAAAAATAGCTGACTAATGAAACTCCAAAACCATGGTGCTGCCCCAGTTGTTGATGTTTCCAAGGTCACACGAACAAAGTAAAGATTGATGACTCCGCTTCTGAAGTTGGGGCGCAGGCAAAGCTTCGATGCTTCGTATCACCTGAGGCATTCGAGGGAACCACCATCAACTGAGGTCATTATACAATATCTTCTATTTGAATTGCATCAAAGCACTGTATGTCATTCACCTAGGATCTTCTTTGGTATTATTCACCTAGGATCTTCGTTTAATTATATATTTGTAGGATATACTGTATGTTCCAAGAGTTGTATATGAAAGTGCTCTGTACTGCTGAGATAATCTCCTGATTTTCCCCAGAGATCCAACTGTGTGCAGGTTCATTATGTTCCAGCTGTGGGAACAATAAGCACGCGGTCACCACTGTCCGGATGAACTACAGGATCAGGCTCACTCAGGCTGAGGCTGAGAAGACTGCCTATTGTCCCCAATTCATCTGAAGCAACCGTAGGGCAGCCGCTGCAACTTGACCCGACATAGAAGTCTGCATCAAGACAGTGAATTTGGGGCTCATCGGATTCTTCTGGGACAAGCTTCACATATACACCTTGCATAATCAGCCTGATGGGGTCATAGGGTTCTACGGGCCCCGATGAGCCCGATGGAACTTGAAAGATGAATCCACTGGAAGTTGCGCCCGATTGCCCCAAGATCGTGGCAGATTCAGTTGAGGCAGAGCTTAGCATTTCCCAAGAATCACTTTGCTCACAATATTCATGGTCGCTTTGAGTTGAGTGACTCCAGCAGCTACCCCCACGAGGGCTGGAGCCCTGGGATTCAAATCCACTCGCAAGGGAAACTGCCTCAGACTCTGAATGGTCGTTTGTCAGATTGGCCTCCGAATCGATTGGATGGGGATGTTCCTTTGCATCTATCTTCCTGCACTTGCACAAATGCTCTTCCTCCAGAGAATTGGCCATGGCAATGAACCGCGTGGGAACTACACAAGTGCTACTCTGCGATAGCCACTTGATAGGAGAAATGCATTTCAAATAAATTGATCATGGGCAATATATATATATATATATATGATTTCACCGGTCTTGAAAATTTTGAGAATATCTTCTATTTGAAATGTATATTTCACCATGTTTTTTAGACTCTGTGCTCAACAAATGAAAGCTGGTGAGATCTCCGG